GGCTCATTAAAGCCCCAGCCCTTCTTAAGGAGCATGCAGGTTGAGTCACATTCCTCAGTAGTACGGTCACTGATAGACTGTCTTTGCTCGGATAAATTCTTCCTACTTATGCTCATGCAAGCAAGTGCAATTAAATGTAAAGGGATGTCCCACCCAACATGTGAACTGTGTGATAGTAGGAAGAAAACTCTTTGGAAAAAGAAGAAGAGGTTTCGAGGAAGGAGATAAGATAATGAGGGTTCAATATAAGCAATGTTTTATATATTTATATACCTGTGTATGAAATTGTGGAAAAAAAAGTTTTTTTTAAGAAAACAGATCATGTGCCATGCAGGTATGCACCTGTAATCCTATTCTTGAGGAAGAAGTGCTGTGAGTTCTGAGCCATTCCTGGGCTTCAGAGTGAATTCCAGACCAGCACGGACTACACAGGATGGCCTGATCTAAAAAACAGGGCAAGACAAAACAATTCCATACCACTAAAAACCACTTCAGTGAGCACTCCCAGAGTTTTTTGACTTAAGAGGATGGTGAGAGGGTGGGTTCAGAATTTGTTTTCTTTCCCAGTTCAGGGATGATGCTGGCACTGTGAGCAGGAGGACCATAGTAAAGAATTAGTATTTTAGAATACATGTCACCATCCCTCCCTCCACTGCGAGACCACAGTCCCCTGGCATAGCTGTTCTAAAGGAAAGGCAGTCTGGGTTTCATTTGATTTACATTAGTCTGTCAGTTCAGATGCCTTCACTTAAATTATTCCATAACATTTTCTAAGTCAACCATACTTCCTCAACGTATTTCTTAAGTTGTGAGTGGCATTTGACTTCCATCTTCCCTAAAAATAGTCAGACTAATTTTGTCTTTTTACTTTTCTCTCCTTCTCCTCTTCTTCCTCCTCCATCTTCTCCACATCTCTAATAAAGCTAGAAAGAGGAGGATCGACAGCCTATGACGTTGCTAACTGTCATGATTGTGCATACCTGTCAGTCTAGCTTCTGGGGAAACTGAAGCAGGGAATGGCCTCAGCAATGGATCAAGACCAAAATATAAATTAAAAAGGAGGCAATTTCATGGTAGAAACTTCACATCATACATGGGAGGCCCTGGGCCCAATTCACATTGCTTCAAAGAATAAGATAAAAAAAGAAAGGAGACTTCTCTCCGTCCTTTTCCATGAAAATATAATTTCTTAGAGACAACAAATTTACTATAGTTCCTTTCCACTGTTCTCTGGGGGACCTAATCATCATTTAAAGTAATAGTTTTAACTTTTTATTAATATTTAAGGAATTCTACCTTCTTCCACAGAGTAGCATTGAGTCTACTCTGTCAAGTGAGATTTTTCAGTCGCTGAACAGTGGAAGCAGAAGGTTCTTTAGTGCTCATTATATATTACCATGTTGTATGTGAGACACAGCGTTTGGGGAGCCCGGTGATATACAGAAGGCCAACAAGTCAATTACAGAGACAGAACCCTATAGTGCAGACCTCTTGCTCCCTTGCCTAGACTGTGTCCCTAATCAGCGGTCCCTCTCACCAGCTCCACTGGAGGATGTCAGTAGGGCCGAACTAGAAATGAAGTAAGCCCAAAGCACAGTGCTAAACATCTAAAACATGACCAGAGAGATGGTTTGGCAGTGAAGTACACTTTTTCAGAAGAGTTGCGTTTGGGCCCTAACACACACATTAGGCAGCTCACCACCTATAACTCCTGTTCCAGGGGATCCAATGTTCATGTTGGGCCTCCTCAAGCCCCTGCACTCACACGCACATACAGTCACGCAGGCACTCTCATGTGTATTAACATTAAGAAATAACTAATCATTACAACCATGAAATTGTCAATTAGGGGAAAACATTTATTATTGAAAATAACTTTAGGCACAGTAACTTCCTTTAGATGCTTTGGGTTTCTCTCTGCACACCTTCTCTTTTTTGAGATGGGGGGAGGGTCTTAGCTGTGCAGCCAAGAATGACCTTGAATTTGTGATGCTTTTGCCACTCCTCTCCAGTGCTGAGATTGTAGGCATCATGCTATTATTCCTTTTCTGTTTAAATTTCTTTACAAAGTGTGTGGGAAGGGATTATTCAAGAAAAAAAAAATTAAAACTACACAGTTCAGATAGTTACAAATTCTGAGAGGACTAACTCTCTGGGTTCATCCTAGCAGAAACACCCATCCCTGCCAAAGACAACAAGAACCCTTTACTATGGCTAAAATAATCAGCAACACTAACAGAACAGAGATGTTTTTCCTGAAGTCTCTTCACAAGATTGGGCAGAAGATTAAAACCGGACGAACTTGAGGCAAGGAAACTTACCAGCAGGGCTGAATTTATTCCTTTATCTACACTGTGAGGTGGATATTTCACTCCCACTTCACAGGCAAAACTAAAGCTCTGAGCAGTTTAGACTAAGCATGTACTGGTTAAGCCAGGTGCAAACCCAGGTCCCTGTGACAAAACTAACCACACAGATCTAGGTGTTTCCCCAAACAAACTCCAGGACCATTACTGCTGTCACTGAGGTCTCCATGCCTGAGGTGTGGTTATCCTCCCTCTACTCTCTGCTTGAAAAGCCTGTAACTACTATGCTCCCTTCCTGCTCGCCTTGGTTTGCCTATTACAGAATACAGTGTAGTAACAGTACAAATTCACTGGCAAAGCCTTCTGATCCAGGCATGTTGGGTATATGTTTAAAGATGAACAAATATAAAGAGTTAAGGAAAAACAATGACACAAGAAAGAGCTGCGTGATGTTTCCCTTAACATAACCCCCACTGCAGTCCTTACTTGCAGTTTCATGCAAATAGAAGAATCCATTTCTATCAGCCCAGGGAAGCCAGGAGCCACATGACCTCATCATACCTAGCCCTCTGTGCTGTCCTGTGCAAAGGCAGGCTGGACTTTTAGATTTTTAGAAAGCACAAAGTATACAAGAACAGTAGAAGGGGCTGCTTTCCCTTGTTCATGGATTGCTAGTAAACAAGAAGGCTTAAGAATATGAGCCCTCAGCCACAGAAGATGACAATGCAGCCACTCCTGATGAGATCTGATAGACTAAGATCAGAAGGAAGAAGAGGAAGACCTCCTCTATCAGTGGACTTGGGGAGGGGCATGCATGAAAGAAGGGGGAGAGAGGGGCTTATGGGGGGGATGCACAGTGAATAAAGTGTAATTAATAAAAGTTTAAAAAAAAGAATATGAGCCCTCATAAGAGATGCAAATGTGAGAACTAAGCCAGGCAGGGTCTTTAGAAATATTTCTGTCTTTTCCTGTAAAATTCTTTTTACTACAGAACTGAAAATGAACCTCATAGGACTGGAGAAATAGCACAGGGATAGAGAGCTTTTCTGGCATATGTGAGTCCATGAGTTCAAGCCCCATAATGGCAGATAAAGAAAAATAATCTCTTAAGGCAACTCTATAGGTTAGCTAATTTTCTTGAAAAATATCCAAAGAATAAGCTGATTAAATCCAGTTTAGACTACTGTTGCTTCAAGCCATTCTCTTCAACTTCCAAATAAGATTGAAACAACAACAACAGCTAAAATACCTCCCAAGTGCCAAACAATCATTAGTGATTTTGTTTGTCAAGTTTTTAACATGATGGGAGCCTCAAACTCGGTATAGTGGTACATGCCTGTAATCCTAGCGCTTGGAAGGTAAGGACAGAAGGATTCAGAGTTCAAGGCCATCTTCAGCTACTAAATGATTTCAAGACTAGTCTGGAGTACATGTGAGCCTGTCTCAAAAAAAAAAAAAAAAAAAAAAAAAAAAAAAAAAAAAAAAAAAAAAAAGGAATACTGGCATGAGATAGCTCAGTGGATGAAAATATTTGCTGTACAGCCCTAACAACCCGAGTTTAATTCCTGGATCTCACAGTGGAAGGAGAGAACAAATTCCCCAGAGTTCTCCTCTCTGACCCCCATACACATACGCACCTAAATACACACACACACACACACAGTGTGTACACACAAAAGAAGAAAGATGGCATGGTTTTGACATATACTAATCCATGCCCCTCTGCTGTGGATCTGACACCAGGTCTGGGTATCTTCCTAGGCAACTGTCAAGCACAGATAAGGTACCACTCTTGCTGGATTTGAGTTCAGCATCATCAGTGCAGACACAGGTAAAGGTAAGACACTTGCCACTATTCCTGAAGTAAAGCTGTATTTCTGTTATTTTAATTATGATATCTTTACCATTCATTTGAAGTAAGAACTACAAAGGAAAATGATCTAGGAATTGCATGGGAGATAAGTATTAGTTATCTTTTTTCCATATGTTAAGTCATTGCTACATATGTTTGTGGGAGTGGGATGTTTAACAATTGTGTTGAAGAAAGGACATCAAATGATGCTTAGAAATGTGATACACATTTTCATTTCACACTCCATCAGCTTTTACAACTGTAGCTCAATGAAATGTGTGAGAGAGGTTGGCAAACAGCCATATTTACCAAGGTATAAAACAGGGGCCAGGTTACTTTTTTTTGTAGAATGGAAAAAAATGTTTAATTTTCACTTCACAGGACTCAAGTACATATGCAGCTCACACTAGCATGAGGTGCCACGGCCACACGTACGCCACAGCTTAGTGCCTGTCCACCTGTAGGCTTTGACTGTGTTATAAATAGCTTTGTCAGCAGGAACACACTGGGTCCTCATCTCCCTCCCTTCAAGAGCAATGATACAGAACCATACTAGATCTGTTCACCCTTGGTGTTGTATCTCTTACCTGCAAACAATGGCTTTTTACCTTCTACTTCTGGCCTGGGAAAGGAAGCAGTTTATTCCCTTTCTGGGCAGAGAAGCACAAGTCTAGACATCAGCAAAGGTGCCCTGCACACCCAGATCTCCATCTGTCAGAGAGCAATGCCTTACACGTCCTTAAAAGGGGGATGGTAATTGATCAGACACATGGCACGGGGTCACTATGCTTCCCAAGCTGCTATTTCATCAGCAGCATTGAGGGAAAGAACTTCTAACTTACCTGTGTCAAACCCGAGACTTCTCCCTTGGCCAGCGGCTTGCTGATGGATGGGGTATAGACTCTGCTGTCTGATACTGGCCGTCCTTTCAAAAAGTGCTTTCCTGATTCATAAATGTCTACTTCAACCATTTTCCCCATGAATGCAGGATTCTTTGGCACTAAAACCTTAAAACAGATATTTTGAAATTAGAAGTTTTAAACAATCAGTCTTATTTTACAGTAGTTTGAGGTTACAGAACAATGACATAGGAAGGCTTTTTGCTCCCCACAACACTCTCCCCATCATTAACATCTTACATTAGGATAGTGTGTTTGCCACAATGAAGAATGACAAATGATATGCCACTGTCAATTAAGTCCACACTTTATTCATATGCTCTGGGATCCCATTACAGCCAGCTCTATTTCCTGGCTGCTCAAGGATTTGGAGCCCTAGAGAGTGGTAAAGCTTTTCTAAGAGGAGCTGAAGGGCTGTAGACCCAGGGCCTCCATCACCAGATGACAGCTGTCCTAAAGCACAATGACAGGAGACCTGGGAAATTTCCAGCAGCTAGCCAATCATTTATGGACAAGGCCTTCAAGACCCTGCCTTTGCCTGTCCTGCACAATGAAAAACATATTCAAAAATTATGAAAGCCTCACACTTCCAATACCTTCCAAGTTAGCTATCAGAAAAAATGGTTTAGTAGATGCTTCAAATGAAGGCCTCTGTATATATGTGTATGTGTGTGTGTGTGTGTGTGCAAAAAGGTAGGAGGAAGAACATTTCAAAGTAACTCTTTCAGTAACAGCACACTGCTGCTTGTCTAAATGACTCCTCCAGCTAATGGCTGCCATTCACGCCTTTTGTTGTTAGAAAAGGAATGTATCTGTTAGTCTCCTGAGCCAATCTCTGTATAGAAGCAGCCACTCTGAAGCCTACTTCGGATGGCTCCCAGCGAACTGTCAAATGGCTCTTCTCTGCTAGAGATTGCTGACAGAGGTTCATGTTTACTCAGCAAGTGCCTCCTCTTGGAGGGGACTTAAAGGCAGTTTGTGTGCATTCTATCCCCTCAGACCTCGGCTTTAGTACCGTAGCTACTTGCCAACCTCTTCAAGTCAGGGTCCAACACAAACAGGTCAGTTCTAAACCAGCAGTACTTTGGTATTTTGATATAATCTTATTTAGAAAAATAAAAGCGATGGCATCATTCAAAGGCTTAGTTATAGAGACAGGTCAGGGAACGAGCCTGCAGTAAAAAAGGAGAGAGAGAGAGAGAGAGAGAGAGAGAGAGAGAGAGAGAGAGAGGAGGGAAGAGCCTGCAGTTGCATAGCCAAGTTGAGAAGCCACACTGGTTGGTCTTTCTGAGGTTTTTATGATCACTGCACACACAGCTTCATCACAGGGCAGGGAAAAGGTCACCTGAAGGGTGGCTGATTCTTGGCAAGTAGGCCAACCAAAAAAGCAGTAGTATCGGGCCCTTTTAAATTAATTTTCATAAAGCAAGAAAATCCCTAGCCCAAAATATGTATAGAAATTTTGGTGCTATTCCTGGGGAATATAAACCTTCTTGATCTGCTGTGTTGACCTGAATGAATGGCTCAGTGTTTATTGTTGTCCCCACACCCCTTGGGTTTTAATAATTGGAAAAAGCCCAACTGCCTTCCACTGGAGGAAACAGCTAATGAGGCATGCCATTGCCTTTAAAATGAAGGGTAAAGGTTCCCTGCTGAGGCACAAACCCAGATGGCAAGAGAAAGGAGAGGGAAGAGGTGACCACATACACCGTGGTTCTCTCCAGGGCTGAGCAGAGGGTTGGCAGGCATAGGAGAATGGCTCCTCCTGAGACGGGAACAGGAGGACGCTCGGCTTAAAGATGAGGCATGAATACTCTTTTATTATCTGCAGCCTTCTCTTGGTACCCAACAAGTGTGTCTACTTGAGCTTGGAAGGTCCCAACTAGGACCTGCTGCCCAGTTTGATAGTATTTCATGTGGATAAGCAATAGTGAGGCCTCTTCCCTGCTTTCTAACATGAGTAATTGTTTCCCTTGCCCAGCCTTATTTGAAGTGCCCATGTAGTACTTAAGAATCCCCAAATTCTAATTCCAGTCATGACCCAGAGGAAAAAAGAAAAAAAAAATAATCCACTTCTCAGCTGATGAGAGAGAACATAAGGATAGGAAACCCCATTTGACATTAAAGAAAATTAATAGGACTCAGAACCATCTGCGGCCATCCCACTCCACTCTCAGTGTCTCCTGGGACATGATTCCATTATCCTACTTGGTCCATCCAGGGTTCTTACCTGGATGGTAAGAACCTTTCACAGAAGGAAATACTCTGTGAGTCATTCTGACACACTTTCCCCCAATGGGGAAGTGAGGCCCAGTTGCTGACAGAAGTCAGGTATAAACCTCTTTCTATAGTGGCTGTGTTTGGATACTGGGCTGATATATCTTCCTAAAAAAGGCTGGGTGCAGAAGAGAAAAGGTCTGCTCTTTGGATTCCACTCAAGACTGATGAACCACTGTGGAGGCCTTGAGAGGATGAAGCAACTTCCCTTGGTGGGTTTCAGAGGCCACCCAGGGTGCCCTTCCTGCCAGCCTTCCTCACCTCCTGGTGAGACTGAACACCTACAATTCCTGCTGATGTGCTTAGTGCACATACTCTTCCTGCCTTCTGATCGGGACTCCCCCTCTCCACTCACTCAGTGTTAGCTTCTAGGTTCCCAATTACCAGAAGCCTAAGGCAGTTCTGTCCTAGACACGTAAGGCCTCAAGTACACTCTAACAATTACTCTCTATGAATGCACAGTTAGCCTGGTTTGCTCTGTGAATGCACTGTTAGCCCCTGCTAGCCTGGTTCCCTTCACTCATTCAATCCTTTCTTCTTCTTGTCCCTATTGCTTAAAATGAGAAAAGAAGTGAACACTGGAGTGGTTCTTACCTGCTCATAGAATCGGTTATGTGCAACATAAAACTTAGAGTCAAAAGATTCTTCTGTTACTAGCACTTGTTGTCTTTCGCCAATCTGTGAGAGAAGAAAAGATAAGGATAAAGAAGAATCTGAAAATAAGTATCAGCCAATAGAGTGTCCTGGACCTGCTTCTTGAATTTAAAGTAGGATGCAGATGGTCAGTTGCTTAACAGACAACACTGTGCATAACTCATTCAAATCTCTTGAAAAACATTAACTATGCAGGAATGTAAAATCATCACAGCACAAACCCTTACTTTTTTTTACATGGCTATGAAATGAATTAATCAGATTTCTTTCTTCCACATAAGATACAACAAAAGCTTCTAAAATACACCAAGATCCAAATACCACTTTGTTTCTTGCAACAAACTCGCACAACAAGTCAGAACAAGCTGCTTCTAATCCAAATGCAGGAAAATATTTTGGCAATATGATAGAATAGTAATAAACATTAATTTGAGTTATAAGGGATATAACACTAAAGAAAATGCACCCAGAACTAGTCATTAGGGGCTACAGAGACGTTCAGCGATTAAATGTGCACACAGCTTCTGCAGAAGACCCAGGTTTGAGTCTGGCACCAATACTGGATGGCTTACAACTGCCTGGAACTCCAGTTCCTGGGGATCTCATCTCCTCTTCTGTTTCCAGGGCACCTCAACTCACTCGTGAGCACATTCCCCCTAACACAGGATTTTTTTTTTTTGGGGGGGGGCTGCAGGGTTTCTCTGTGTAGCCTTGGTTGTCCTCTCACTTTGTAGACCAGGCTGGCCTCAAACTCACAGCAATCTGCCTGCCTCTGCCTCCCTGAGTGCTGGGATTAAAGGCCTGTGCCACCATGCCCGGTTAATACATGAATTTTAAAATATGCACATAACTTAGAAAACAGAACTAGCTGTTAGAGCTCTACACCTCAGTGTTGCACATGTTCCATACAATTTTGAAATTATGACTAATTTGCCTAAGTATTTACTTATATTTTCTCTGTTTTAGGCAAGTGTATCTGTGCTGTAGCTACAATTCCATGTCATTGTTATTTTTTTAAAGAGCAAATATGAAATTATGAACTTTGAAGATCAATGGATGAAACTAGAAAACATTACATTGAGGTAACCTGTATCAGACCCAGAAAGACAAACGTCACATGTTCTACTCATTAGTGGAACTGTAGATTTGTGCATTTGATTGGGGGCATCTGTAGATTTCCAGGAAACCAGAGAGGGCATTGGTAGGGAGGAGGGAGAAGGGCTTTAATGTAAGGTAAGGAGGATAATAAAACACAGATGAAGTGAAGGGGAAAATGAGAATAAATGGGGAATAAAAAGTCTAGGTGAGAGGGATGGGAGTGTAGTACAAAGGAGGGAGATGGATGATTAATACTAAAGATGTTTGAGAAAGGCATCTGATATACATGCACATACACACACATACATATTCATATAAAGAGTTTAATTGGAGTCACCCTACACAGGGGATAATGTTCCTTCTTTTACTGAATAGTTTTTTTTTTTTTGTTTTGTTTTGTTTTTACCAACTTGACAGAAGCTAGAGTCACTTGAGAAGTAACCTCAATTGAAAAGGTGCCCTCACCAGACTAGTTTGTAGAAAAGCCTGTGGGTCATTTTCTTGATTGATGATTGGTATGCATAGGCCTACATCACTGTGGGTGGTGCCAGTCCTGGGCAGGAGGCCCTGGGTGTATAAGAAGGAGGCTGAGCAAACCATGGGAAACAAGCCAGTAAGCAACTCTTCTCCATGGCCTCTGCATCAGCTCCTTCCTGCAGGTTAAGGACTTGAGTTACTGCCCTGATGTCCATGAATGATGGACCTACAAGCTGTATGATGAAATAAACCCTTTCTCCTCAAGTTGTTTCTGGTCATGGAGTTTTATCACAGCAAGAGCAACCCTAACTAAGAGACTCCTAGCAGTCATAGGTTGCCACATAAAAAGCCCAGTGCCACATGTGGGATACATCCCCTTGAGAGATGTCCTGGAGACTCCCAAAATAATACTACCATTGCCATTGCTCTTGGTTGTCCCACTTGAATTTGAGAGTAAAGCCCTATTGCTAAATGACATAATCTGGTCACAAGACATGGAGAAAACAAGCTGGTACTGGCCGGGGAGCTTCTTCTTTGCTGCCTAGTTTTCACGATATTAGAAAGTGCTATATATGCTGCCAGGAGGTAAACTCATCAACAGTTTGCTCAGCTGTGAATTCTGTAAACAGGAATGACAGGGATGGCAAGATATGCCCACAGGTGCAATAGTGGCACAGATGTTATGGAAGTCATTTCATTTTTGTTGGATTTAAGGCCCATTTTACAGGAGAAAACACTTGGTCAGATTGTTAATCTGGCCAAGAATCCATGATTTTGAGAGCTCACAGGCCCCAGGGGTGACTTTACAACTATTATTCTGCTAAATGGACATAGTATCAAACTGCTGTATATCTTTATACCCATAAATTTGTACAGCTGTCAGAATTGTGTGTGTGTGCTCTAAATGGTAGTTAACGCAGAAACTCACATCTGGTTAAAGTATAGAGGATTAGTGTCAGTGGAGTGCTCAGCCACAAATGAGACGTCTATCACCCAAGCCTCCCTTCCTGACCACCCCCTCACCCCCAGTCCCAGGCACATGGCACAGTACAGAAGGAATGGAAAGACTGTAGGAGCCAGAGGTGAGGGAGAATGGGTACAAAACAGTATCTTCTGGACATGATGACCTCATGAACACAAGCAACTGTGATTGTCCATACAAGTCCAACCCAAGATCAAGCCAGTTAACATTCAGGTAGCTGAAGAGCTACTGACAATTGATTTCTTATGGGGAAAGGAGAGTCAGTTTTCTTTTAAGAGTGTAGTCCTTGATAGCTGGAGAGATGGCTCAGTGGTTAAAAGCACTGGCTGCTCTTTCAGAGGCCTTGACTTCAATTCCCAGCAGCCATACGGTGGCTCACAACCATCTATAATGTGACCCAGTGCCCTCTTCTGGCATGTAGATGTCATGCAGATAGAACACTACTACACACAAAATACATAAATATTAACAAACAAACAAACAAACAAACAAAAACACAGTTCCTGGCAGGTTGACCATGCTCCAGTGAATGGCCTCATACTACGAAGATATGAGCAGCATAAAATGGACTCGGGGGTTAATTTTAAAAAAGAGGACACAAAGCTAGGATAGGTGGGAGGAGGGCGGATCTCTGAAGAGTTATGGCAAGAAATATGGGGTGTATATGTAAAAATAAATTGTATGAAATTCTCCAAGAATTAATAAAAATATATTTTAAAAAGCAACCAATGGGTCTGTTCAGCCTGTATTTCCAAATTTATGCAGCCATTTTTAATAACCATAGGTTAAATCAGCCAAACAATGGTTAAAGAAATGTGACTATGCTCCCTCCCAGTTGCCATTTCCAAGATTATTCCATTGTGAAATACATCATTTAAAGGATCAATTACTTAAAAAACAAAACCCAACATTGTCAGAAATGTCTGCTCTATCAAACCAGCTGTAAAACTGCCTAGAATTACTTTTGCTGTTGCTACTTGGTAAGTACACCCCATACTGGCATGATGATGATTTTTTTTTTTTTTTTTCAAGAAAGTCCTATTTTCATTTGTGGGGACTTGTCACTGTGTTCAGGCAGTTATCATTTAGAAACCATAAACACAGCTGCACTGAACAGACCACCTAACAATTAAAAAAACCAAGAGTAAACTCCCCTCTCCCTCTGGCATTGCCAATACCTAAGTACACCCCAACGTACCATCTAGCTTACCACCCTATTCAAAATGTAGTCTCCTTAGCCAAAGGCTATGAGGCCTCTGATGATTTTTTTTTAACATGATTGGCCTCACTCTCTGAGAAGCAATGCATACTGCTGTAACACATCTCTTTAAAAACAATCGAGCTAGACCTCCAAGAAAGGTTGCCCTAATTTCTTTGATGAGCTTCCATAGTTTATCAAAAAAGACTGGAAAATAGTAGGTTTCACGGGTGTTTATTCTTTGGAGAAAACTAGGATGTTTACACACAGCTCAGTGTGAGTTGCTTATGACTTAGGATAAGGAGCTGTCGATGGTTCTTAAGGTAATCTGCAATTATACTTCATCTAGCATTAACACTATGAGAACACTGAAGGTGTGTGCTGTTCTCTGTTTCTCTAAGCTGGTTGGAATTTATGTGGCTAGTTGTTTCCATATTGTTGGGCTGTTCTATTTCACGTGGAGATATAAATTCAAATGACAATAAAATACAATGTATCAGTAAAAAATAAAATTAAACCAAAATTCTGCACATTAGTGTAGGCAGCTGGGATTTTAACAAATCAGAGAATCATTTATAGTTGAACCTTTAACTGTAATTTGACAAAAAGGCCTAGAACTGGAGTATGTAGAGAAGGACAGTAGCAAACGCCTTTTTCACCTACAGATCTTGGGTCATTGAAGAAAGCTGGGCACTGATCAGAGCTGCTGCAATCCATCTCCACCTGTAAAGGCTACAGTAAGAAATAATAAAGCTCCCCTTTGTGATTTTCATGAATGAAGACTTGGACTGGCTATCAGTCACAACCATGAAGAGAACTGACTGTTTCAAGTCACCTTAGAAGCCGTAAGAAGTTAAAGAAAGGCATTTCCACGAAGGATTTGGCTATGGAAACAATAAGGACCTTACAGATTTGCTAAACTGTATTGTAAGCCCCATGTCTTTTATATTTTTTAAACCAATCCTTCAATACTAGGCATGGAATTCAGGCAATAGCACAGGTCTGGTAAGTGCTCTGCCAACTGAGTTATACCACAGTCAACAAACCTCATTTTAGAGGAAACATTTATTTTATTTTATTTTTTTAATGTTTTCTAAATAGGATCCTTTCCCCATCCCCCAAACTCCACTAACGACTCATCCATCAAGACTTACAGTGACTGGCATGGTGTGCCTTATCATGAGTGAGGAGGCCCCACCCCAGAGATAAAAAGAGGGCATCTGGCAGGAGGGTCATGCCACAGGCCTCCAGAGATGCATCAGATCATAC